TGTAGACATAAGTAGAATTATACACCCAACATAATTGTACGCCTACGTATATGCCATATTTTTAAAACAATGCAGTAATAGTAATGTAGGTAGAGTACAAACATAAAAACAAAACAAAAATTGAACTACATAAAAAGAACTGAAATATTTTGATACTTTCAAAAATGTAGAACGTAGGCATGAATTTGTATTACTTTTTTTATAAAACACAATGTCGTTCTGTCACTAAATTAAAATTAATCTAAATTAAATCGTTGAAAATTAAAATTAAAAAAAAATTGAAATCAAAAATGCATAGTTTAAAAAATTACTTAAAAAGCAAATAAATACCAACAATAAGTTAACAATATAAAAAATAAATAACTGTAAACAAAAATTCAACGTAACAGTAAAAAAGTTTATTTTGTTGCTTTATTTTATGTATTTAATTTTTTTTCCCTCTTTTCTGTTACTACACTCGTATGGGCACACAATTTTTTGCGATATCATATAAAACGGTATTTCTGATAAGAAATTTTTTTTTATTGTATAAATTTTTTTTATTGGATTAGTGTTGCTCTGCTCAGTTGTGTGTGTATACCAACACATGCATATACAAATTTATTTTAAATATCTATAAATACAGATTTGCTATTGAACTGCTTCTGTAGTTGTTTCACTTAAACGGTTATTTATTCGAAATGAGAAAGCCAATCCAACTTTCGAACTTTAATGAGAAATTCTCTTTATGTATTTTTGTGTGTGTAAATATAAAGCATGTACTTAGTTTTGGGTTATGTGTAATATAAATATTGCTTGGGGTGGGGCTAATTTACAAAAATTAAACTCTATTAGGCTCTTGTTTATTTTGTGAATTCATATGCATATGTATATGAATACTTACATGTAAATTTGTAAATAATATGTGATAAGTGGTGTAGAGAGAGAGCAGTTTTTTGTGGTGAAAATAATGTAACATGGTGAATAGTTTGTTTTAATCAAAAATTTGAACGTGTGAATTAAAAACACTTCTCTGTCAAATCTTAAGAAAATTTTTTTTACAGTTAACAAAAGTATTTTTATCTTTTACTTATATGCAACAATTTATAAATTGTTATACTTAGCGACATACATATACAATGCAGATAACGTAGTGAAAAGGGAGACAGAATAAAAATAAAAACTACCAAATATAAAATTCCAAAGAAAAAAATTTTTATTAATTTTTGTTTTTAGTTCTTCTTTTATGATAAGATTTTCTGGGAATGATAAGAATATAAGATATAGAGTATGAGAGAAAGAGAGAGAGAGAAATAAATATATACTGAGAAAAAAAGGAAAATTGTAATCTATATGGAAAATGAGTAAAAATAAAAAAGTATGCGTGCATGTATATGTTTGCATATACGTATTTGAATAATATAGAGAGTGGGGTCAAAATCCAGGCTAATGCCACGTTATACCTACAATAGTTAAAGGTGGCATCTTGCTAAATTATAGATATTATATGTATACATATTTATGAATTTTGTTTTATTTTTTTTCTCATTTCTCTCAATTTTGTTTTATTTTTTGTTTTCTTTTAACAGTAAAAGTTGTGTATGTATACATTTGTACATAATATGCACTTAATTTGAATTCGAACGAAGAAAGCTTAAACTTAGCCAACCTTATCATTCGATCTTTGGCTTTGAAAGTCATTCTCTGACTGGTCGAATATAGAAATGTAGGTGAATCTGTATTTTTTTATTATTATTATTTTTATATTTGATTCCATTTTTATATATACCTATGTACATACAGACATTTAACTTCTTGTTGTTTTTCATAGCAGCTTTTTTAAGTTGTTTTAATGGTATCGTGTTAGATAAACAGAAGAGCTCTCTGAAGAAATGTATAGACAAAATATGTTTGAAATTTTTGTTGGTTTTTATTAGAAATAAACAATTTCAACCTGTAACTAGGTACCTTCCCATTACTTTAATATTTAATTCGCTTACGTTGATAGAAATAACTGATTTTTTAAATATGTATGTACATTTATTTTATACATCGATGATATTTCCTATATTTTTGATTTTAACTTCAGGTGGAAATTTTTAAACTGTATAGAGAAGGAGAAATAAGAAAAAAACTAAAACAAAAATTACAGAAATATATATGTAGGTGGTCGTTATTGTTAATTAGAAATATAGTTATTACTTATATCATACTTGTTAAATTAGTTAGTATAAGTTTGGCACCTGGATTTTCTTGAATTTGAAACATTTCATATATGCATATTATTATGATTTGTGTTTGTATCAGTGATACTAGAAATTTAGAAGTAAATATTTTGTATCTACTTCATAACCATTATTATTATGTGTAAATAATTATTGCAACATGAAGGTGGTGTCACAAAACATATTTAACTTACTATGATAAAATATTTTACATAAATGTTAAGATTTATTAATATTAGCTGTATACTATTCCATGTGTTTTAAATTCACATATGCATTCAAAAGTTTTGCAAAAGTATGCTAACAGTAAAGTGACATGTAGACGTAAAAAGGAAAATATTGTTGCAACAATAGCCCTATCTTAGAAAATTTATTAAGCCTACTTTTGTTTTTCAAAATTTTAATTGTAAGCTATATTTCAGGAGATATACAACCATATACATATATGTGAATACTTAAAAAGTATAAAAAATGAAACTCATAATATACGAAGCCCAAATGTTAATTGAAAATTTTAATTTAATACTGTAAAACACTGAGACCAGTTGCAACAAACTCCCCTTAATTTATCATGTGGTTAAAATTATTTACTATTTAGGAAATTGTATACTTGCTGCACTAAATTAAAATCTCAAAAATAGATCATCATTTTTTACTATACTTATATTTTAATTTAATTACTACTATATGATCTTTGATACTACTTTTATTTAAGAAATTTAATGAAGGATAAAGGCTAATTTAAACTGTACGATGTAGGTATATATAAAGCATACATATGTAGGTATTTTTTACTTGATATCTATATACGCACATTCTTCAGGTTATACATTATTAACATTTATGAAATAAGTATATTTAAAAATCAATTTTATTTATGTAATTAAATGGTACTCGTATCGTTTTAAGAACAACCATTGATTTGATGATTATACTTCAATGTATACGTACGTATGTATGTATGTACGTATATGCGTATAAATAATTTCTACAAATGTTTAAATTAACATAAATATTTAATATATTTTCATTGTTAAATTATATTGTTTATTCATTCAATTACCGTAACAATTATGTATGCCCAACAATGTAACTTTACAATGAGCCGAACTACAAATTAAAGTAATTACGAGTATATTTAAAATGAATGACTGTTGAAAAGGTAAAATTCATTAAAAAAGTTATAAATATGGCTAAATGAAATAATTTTTTAAATATTAAATTTTAGTTTCTCTTACTTACACACTTGGAAAACTTTTAAGTGTTTCATACCACATATTATAACAGGGTGGGAAGGTTTCACCTATCCAACTCATACATACATATTTTATACATATGTATATCATTAAATATGAAGGCACATGTAATGAAAAATATACATAATAAAGAATATAATGCACATAATATATTATATTATCATAAAAACATACTTAAATAATATTATAATGTTATATTTTTCATACTTACCTACGTGATCATTGTAATTGTAAAATTTTAGTAGTGTTGAATGGTATACATTAAGTTCACGACATGAAATGCCAAAATTCATTCCACCTTTTAAAAAAGTTTTCCTTAGCCATTGTACTGCAAAACGAAAGCTTTATATAGAAAAATTATTACACTCTCTAAGCCATATAGATACTTAAGTAAATTCACAATTTATACATGTATAATTTTTTGTTAGTAACATTTTCACACACACAAATATATTTATTTAGTTAACATAATTATGATAAAATTATAACATGAAATATTTAAATATAATCAGATAAAATATAAATCTCAAATAATATTTATTATATGTATGTACATATATAAATTAATACCAACGTTAAAAGAATATTGCAATATTACAGAAATATTATTAAATTAATTTGATTTATATGTATGAGTATTGTATATACTAACCCATATAGTATATATTTGTATTGTAAAATCGTATAAGAATCGTATTGGATGCAAAACGATTTGGTTTGTCAATTTTCCATAAGAAAATAACTTTACCGTTAAAATATTATTTTTCTTATTTTCCATTATATTTTTTTCACAAACATACACATACAAAAAAAATTACAATATTTATGTGTGAGTATAGGTAATCGTCCTTGTATTTTTAGTGTGAATATAAAAATATTTTTGTATTATGTGCATATAGTGTGTCTTACAATATACCAATTTTGTATTTTGTTGCTTTGCACTCTTTTATTATTTTTAATGTTAAATTGAATTCAAAGGTTTTGAACCAATATTAGAATAGTATTTTTCTTTTAGTTGTATAACTACACTAGTACATACAGTTAAGTCATACATATGTAAATATTGGTAATTTAAAATTTTATGTGTTTGTATTCATTTGTATTTCTTTAAAGATTTGCTTCAATGCTCTTTATTAACATTGATGTGATTTTTTTCGGTTCAAACTTCACTTTTATAGTATAGTTTATTATTATTATGTGTATTTGTTATTTTACTTTTCCTCTTTTGACTTAAACCTTTTTATATTATCTATCTTTATTATTATTTTTTGTTTCTTTCTTATTCATATTTAATTTACATGATTTTTATACATGTATATATTTTATTATATATGAATATACAGTTAGATATTCATCTTAAGAGTGTATCTTATGTATAGAGAGATATTCTCATGTGTTGAGAGTATTTTAGATGTCGATGTGTCAGGTCGCTATGGTCGAGTCGGGTCGGGTCGTGTACCTTTTGCACCGACTGTTTTGCCAGTCAGCCTCTAAAAGGCCTTACGTTAACTACACATTTGACTGAGAGTCGAATTGAATAAAAAATAAATATAGAAAAAAATAAAATAAGAAATAAATAGAAAAATAATAATACACAAAAAAAAAATTAAAATAAAAACAAAATATATTTTTAAAAATAATATTTTTCATGATATTATTTATTTATTTTTTTTTATTTAATTTCTTATTTATTTTATAAGAAAATATTCTTATATATTTATATTATTTCAACTAAATATAAAATTTTCGCTGAATTACGAAAATTTAATAAATGAAACATTAAATTTAAATGCCAATTGAATAATAAAATTAATAATTTAAATTTTTATTAAAACAAAATCAATTTAAAATAAAATATTTATAATCCGTGTTAATTGAAACAATGAACTGGTTCGTTGTGCGGGCAAATAATTAATAAAATAGAAATAGAGAAAAAATATTTTTTTTTTATTTGAAATTTGAAAATAAAATTTTATTATTAAGATTTTTTTAAATACTTGGAGTTCAAGTAGTTCACAATATGATAGAACAGAAATAAATTAATTTTTTTGGCGGATTTATTTATATGTTATAAAATATTATCTGTATGTTAATTTAAAATTTAAAAACAAAAAATTTGAATATATTTTGAATGAATAATTGTGTTTTTATACGGAAATAAATTTCGGAAACAGTATTTTTTTTTCGATTGATTTGAGTTTTGAATTGTGAATGTTTATAAAGTATAAAAAAGTGGTAATTGATTTAAAATTTTGGCATTAATTATTTAATTAAAAAAAAATTATGAAAGAAGATGAAATGCAATTCTGATTCTATAATGTTCATGTTTAGATAATAAAATTCATGAAAAATACATAAAAATTATATAAAAATAATATTTAAGAAGGTGATCCCAAAATATGAATAGTTTACCAAAATTTTAAAAATTTTTATTTTTGAGAAATTTTTAATGCAAAAAGGGGAAAAGTAATATTGAATTATTATTCGAAATAAAAAAAAAACAAAAAAGTATATTCTTGCCATAAAAACTTTAAAATTTTTTTTTATTTTTTCCCCTGTTCGTTAGAAAACCGTCAAAATTATTACCCATAATTCATTGAGTGTGTACGGGGGTGGCGTTATGTGCGCCTCACCGTCCACAGCGACAGGATTTTTTAATCCGAGATCGCAAACATCTGATTTAACTGCACTAGAATTGGGTTTTACACGTGGTATGCCATTGGTTGCACCACCATGTCCACCAAGTGCATGGCATGATCCCAATTTAAGTAGTCATTTACCTGTATCATCATCAGCATCTAGTGTAAGTGCAACAACACCATCATCATTAATATCAACAAAAACAGAATTAACAAGTTTATCAGCTGGACATCATACATCTGGCGGGACAAATGGTAGTGGAGGTGGAGGTGGTGGTGGTTCTAATAATAATACAAATGATGGCACCAATAGTACAGGCAATAATAGTGGATTAGTACCTATTTTAAATAATAATACAGATTGTAAACCAATTAGCACAACACCTAGTTCACAAGCGAATAGTTCACAAAGTAGTAATGGTGGCTGTGGTTCACAAGCTGATGTTAAACCAAATATTGAATGTGTTGTTTGCGGTGATAAAAGTTCCGGTAAACATTACGGACAATTTACTTGCGAAGGTAAGTTTAATTTTGTTATTAATGCTTAATACTTTTAGAATTTTCGGATTTAATTATTTTAATCAGCGGCAATTTATTAAAAATGCATACACAGTTGCACATTAATTTAACCCAAAAATTTACTAATTGTTTTATTATTCTTCTATTTTTTTTTTGTTTTACTAATTTTCGAAAAAGAAAAACTGAATTTCATCATTTGAATACCCTAGGGAATGTGTAGAGAATTTACAAAAACAAATATGAAAACAAAATAATAGTAAAAAGAAAAATAAAAAAAAAAAGAATTTGCATCATCATTGTAAAGACATGAAAATCGTGAATTCCTTTTTTTAGTAAAGTTAAGTTTTGCTACGGAAAATTACAACAGTTAAATATGATGCCCATATATTTAATGATTTCCAATTGATTCATATATGTTAGGTCATTGAATTGGTTAATTCTGTTAAACTTTCTATTTAAATTATTTGAATTAATAAGATTTGACTGTAATTGTAGACTCCATTGTATATTAAAAATCAAGAAAAAAAATCTTCCTTTTATATGGAAAGTAAGATTTTTTAGGCAACTTTTAAAACTTATGAAATAGTTTGTATATAAAAAGTGATATAATAAGATATTGTGTTCACCTGCGGTTGCTGTAAGAATGCATGTTGTGTCATACAATTCAGAGAAAATTAATTCAGACTTAACAGATTTTATATGTGAAATAAATAATACCAAATATTATGTGGTGTATTTTTCAATAGATCTAAAAAGCCGTCGGAATAGCAAATTATTTGCATATTTCAAAGATTTTATTACGTGAATTTTTTATGTAAATAAGCTGTGAATTGCTAGTACAACAATATAAAACTAGGCTTTATATAAATTATTATTTTTAGTTTTTAGATAATATTATTATCTAAAAATTTTGGAAAAGTATAAAAAAATTAAAATTAAGTATAATATCTGAGAGCAATATTTGAAATGGATTTATTAGACTAGTTATTTATATTCAATATGTATTTAAGGAATTGTTGTGAATATAAGAAATTATTAATTTGAGTCAAAATAAAATTTAAATAATACCGGTATAATCAAGGTGGCACCAGTATGATGGCAAAAACGATATTATGATCACTGTTAATTCTAAATTGAATTTTGGTTGAATTGTGATCATTTTGAAAGTTGAATTTTGGTTAAATTGTAATCATAATACTGAGTTAAAAAAAATTTAATTTTCTCGGCTTGCATCCAATCATACTTCATAATCATAAACTCTTTGAATAACATCTGTGAAATAAAATTGAAGTTATATTGACTACAATATTCTGTTTTGACATTCTATATGACGTAGGTACTACGAAATATTATTAAATATCAGTATAAATTAATATTATTCATGAAGGTCATAATATTAGGTTATTCATGAATATACTCATGTTCGTATACAATTCGTAATTTGCATAATATTTAAGAAAATCATACAAGTACAAGTGCAATCTTTTAGAGAAGTAAAAATTTTTTGTAAAAAGGAGTTTCTCATACACATATGTCAAGTTTTCGTATTTTTGTTATTTATTTCAAAATTATTTTATTTTCTACAATTTATTTTTCAATATAACTTATAAAATTTAACTTCAATGTATTATAGTTATGTTTGAACATAAATCTTGTATACACGCATAGCAATTAACTAATAATAGTAACACACAAAAAAAAGGGCTGTAAGTAAATATAAAAATAATTTTAATCGACTCTAGTCAATTTTTTTTTAGAAAACAAAAACAATTCTAAAAATTTCTTTTCCCCCCACTCTTTTGCTTTAAACTGAAGTTATATTTTAGTTTTTAATATAATAGTTTTTTTTTATATTTAATAATGATTCATTAACTAGTTACTAATTCCACCTTCTTTTTCTATTGCCTCTTTGCGAACAACTTTTCCAATTTCATCGAAAGAATTAAATCTATAGAGAAAATTTGGGTTGTTGTAAAAAAAAAATGAAAAAAAAAAGCAAAATGTCCAGAAGATTTCTCATTGACGTGCACATTTGTTATTGTTTCTGTTGTTTTTTTCTAATACGCTTTTACTTTGTTCTATTATTTCTGTACCATTATACATGGTAGGTATGCTTTTGTATATGGATAACTATGAAAAATATATTATGTTCCATACGCGAATAATAGATCCATATACTGCGATATTACAATCGGCATACGGCATTCAACTATAAAAGAATCATTTATATTTTTTTTTTTATTAAAGAAGGAATATCTATCATATAAATTTAAAAAAAGAAAAAAAAACAGAAAACTACATTAAAAATCATAATAAAAACAACCAAAAAAAATGATTTCTCTCACCTTTGAACCGGTCACGATCATTTATTACAATCCGGAACATTATTTATGTACATATACAAACAAACACACAGAATATGCATTAATATGGATATACACAATAAGTATGTATGTACATATAATAGGAAAAATTCGTCTTTTCTCCTTAATATTTAAGGAAAGCTATTATAATATATGTTACAAAATTTCAGCGAGCCTAAGAATTGAATAACTCGAAAAGAAAAAAATATCCCAATTCTCAAATATATCTAAACTTTAACTAAATATATACATATATGCTTATATATATGTAAATAAATATATACACATATCTTGAGTACACATATTATATAAAAGTTGTAAATATCTAAAATTCTTAGACCGATACTATATAGTGGTCATGATTGTGATAGGTTCCAAAATCATGATAGTAATAGTTATTATGATATTAATGATAATTTTGATATTGATGACTATAATTCTAAAATGCCGATGAAACTATTTTGGTATCCGTCAAAAGAATTTTATACAAACTTTTATTTTATTATTTTTTCTTTTTTGTTGTTGTTTTTCTATTGTAATGTTTTTCTTTCTCTTTATTGCATTTTTCTTTTTTATTAAATTTAAGTTTATATATTACGGGTAAAATGCACATTTGTGCAAGGCAAGGATTAAATTATATTTTTGAATATTTATAAAAAGTTCCATATTGATCCTATCCTGCATATAGACTAGAAACACAATCATATAAGAAGAACACACAATATTATATTAAAAAGTTAAGATCTTAAGATTTTTTTTCTATAAATATTTTGTTAATGTAATTTTTGTTCTTATAGATTTTAGCATTGTTCATATTTTTAAAGTTTTGTTTCAGTTTAATACGCACTATTAACTATTTTAACAAACTTGTTATTAGTGATATGAAATTCCAACACTAAATACCTACATATGTACATAATATAGTCACAAAATTGTATTTTTATTTAAATTTTAAAGATGACCAAGGTAAAAAATTAATTTAAAAAAAAAAAATAATTATTTTGGGTTAGAATATTTTCAAACCCAAGAATATTTTCAATTTAGTGTTAAATAAATTAGTTTTCATTTATGAATCAGCCAGTTTAAGTGAAGAATTTAGAAAAGAAGTAAGAATTAATATTAAAGAGGAATTTTTCATTTTGCTATTAAAAACTTTTAATTGTAGGATTAACAATAATTTAATCAAACAATAGTTTTTCTAATATTTATAGTAAAAGTAGGTGTTGTATTTATATAAAGAAATTTATTATTAAATTAATATTTCATAAAATATTTGCATAGTGGCACGACACTATATAATAAACATCAATTTTTGACTAAAAATGAAATATTCATCTTTTTTAATTTGTATGTTAAACTATTATTAAACTCTTTTACCTAGTATTATGCCTACAATTTGCTTATATTACTAATTGCATGCAATTACTCAATTGGTACTTGTATGCATAATATAAATACATATGTATGTATGTATAGACACATGTATATCTTTATGGTTACATTTTCTTACCACGAAAATATGATCATGCTTACAAAAGAATAAGAAAATTATTATAAATTTTCAAAAATGTTTTAAAAATACTGTGTACATATGTACAAACATACCTCTTTCATAATTTTAATCAGACGGTTTATTAAATTTTCGCGCGATGAAAAATAAAATAGACTTAAATATTGCGCAATTTAATTTTTCATGATATTTTCTAAATTATTTTCATTTTTGTTTTTGTTGTCTTGCTTTTTTTTTTATTTTTGTTTTGTTTAAATCGTTTGACCACAAAATTCAATTCAATGTTTAAAATTCTTATGTACAATGTATACATGGCATACGATCTTCAAAGCTAAAACATAACGTATATTATATGTGCACATACCGATATGTTTATATATTTATGAGTACAAACGTACATATAAATATTTAATCGTTTAAAAAAAAAACAACAAAAAAGAATGCATTTTTCAAAGATCACTGTAGTGAAGATGCACTGATATCGCAATTCAAAATAACCTTTTTGCTTTTATATTATATTTTATTTTAGATAACTGTTTTGGTATGAAGACGGTTTATTTAATAGTGAATATAATATACATAGTTAATATATATATATATATGTATATATATAATTAGGTTGAGAGATATGCAACACACCCCCACTTTACATTATTGTGTTCTCTATACATTCTTCTGCACATATAAGTGATTTGTTATCTAAATTTTATTTTTATATTATTGCAATTTTAATTCGTTAACAAATTGATCTGAAATTCGAATATTTCATATGACGTACAAAAATATGTACATAAAATCATAGCAATAATATTGAAGGCTGTAAATTTAATAAATTCAATGTTATAAATTTTAAAATTGACCACAATGATTTTTTATTAGTTAGCCTAGGTATAGTCTAATTCTTGTCTAGTCAGTGTTTTTCTGGATATTATTCTTTCTTGATCCGTAGCGCAATAGACAAAAGTTTTAGTTTTCATAACATGCTTGAATGTGTACTAAATTTAAATTTAAATGTGTACATATGTTTTTTAATAGACAGATTGATAGGGCACCGGAAGCAAATTTAGGAAAATATTTGCTAAAATATATGTATAAGGTTTGAAATGTTATAAAAGAATCAAATGAAA